CCGAGTTTTTGTACGTTTAGTTTTGCATTATTGTTGTAATTGCCATTAATTTACACAAATTCGTAATTTGCAGTGAATGCTGACAAATTTTTGCCTTCCAAGAAATTTGAACATAAATTCAAAATGAAAGTGACGAAGTTGGGAATAAGTGAAAAGACATTCTATTTATATTATATAGACGCCTCTACTACAAACTTTTTAACTCAGCAATCACATAAACAACAACAAAAAATTATGTTTTTTTCTCTTTCTTTTTTGGGGGAAATTTGAACTCCACATAGAAAGAAAAGAAAAGGGCACATCTACAATGATACATAAGCAAGAAAACCGGAATTCCAAAAATTATATATGGTCGGGAACAAAAAAACAGAGAGAAATCACAAAAAATAATCAGGGGTCTTACGGGTAGTATCTGGTTCGACTTGTCGAGGAGCTGGATCAAACTGAAGGAAGTTCTGCTCCATGTTCTCTCCTATCTCTAGAATCGCTGCCATGTTTCCACACCGGTAACAATAGTTAGGTGCACTAAACACCGTCACTACATTCTTATCCTGTTACCATTAAAAAAGAAAGATCAACTTAAACAGCGGTTACGAAAGAGAAATGGACTAGTCATGCGTATGTCTTAGAATATACATACCTGACACCAGTTAAAACCTTCCATGACAAGCTGATGAGCTCTTGATATGAGACTGAGTCCATTGTTGTGATTAAATTGAGCTGCGATATCCTGTCCAAATGTATATCCAGCACCTCGTGGAGATATTCCCCATCCACATCGATCATCGGGATCAGACCAAAGTAAATCACACATTGGTCCTTCATGTGGAACCTACAGATTACACCATACATAGTTCAAATAGATGATATCAATCTTTTTTGCTCTTTGTATCTTAAGTAGAGAGAGGAGGCAGAGAACCAGAAACAGCTCATAACTCTTCCAATTAAATCCAAACTATAGAGAGAGCGAGGAGGCTGAGAACCAGAAACTACTCATAACTCTTCCAATTAAATCCAAACTACGGACTCTAGCAGAAGGAAAGAAGGTAATACCTCCTGTATCCGATCTAAGCTTCGGATATTATCAAGCGTATCCAGAGAAGGTGAAAGCCCTCCATGCAAGCAGAAAATCTGTAATGGATAAAAATTGATCAAGTCAAAAGCTATACTTAAGAAAGATGCCCGAAATCCAACTGAAAAGAAAAGCTCAAACCTGACTCTCTATGAGGGCGGTTAGAGGAAGATAGTCAAACAGGTCTGTGAAATACTTCCAGACATTTGCATTCCCGTACTTCCTCAAGCATTCGTCATAAAAACCGTAGCTGAAATAGAAAAGCAAAACACACATGGAACAATAAAACCTTTGTTGATGAGTCAGAACCAAAGGAGAAAAGTATGATCGCTAGCTTATTGCAAATAGCTTACACTTGGGTAATCTGCCGACTCTCGTGGTTCCCTCGCAGGATCGTAAGTCTATCTCTGTATCGCACTTTCAGTGCCACCAATAGGGAAACGGTCTCTACCGAATAGTAGCCACGGTCTGAAAAGAAACAAAAAAAGACAATTAGAAACAACAACAAAAACCGCTATCAACAAAACGCCGAAACATAGCTAAATCAACAAACTTGGAACATCCATACATGAATAAGATAATTAGAAAAACTATCTGTCACCATTACATATTGCACCATTTAATGGTTAGAAGTTCAAGGATGGAAAGGTGAGCATCACTATGCTAAAACCAAATGATAACAAAAGCTAATCACCACAAGACTGGATCAACCCCCAGCGAAAAGTTAAAAAGCTGCGAGCTAGCAATTTTAACCTAAAAAGTGAAAGATAACCACATAACATAGTGAAACTAAAGGCTTTTTAAGTAAAAAAATACCAATCAAAAACCAAGTACTTGGTTGGCTATCATGGACAAATCAATGTCAATGTAATAAATGAATGATAACTAAGTTACAATTACAATCTCGCTGGCTTAAAGGAGAGAATTGCCCCTTTAATTCCCTCTAAAGTTGTAAACCAAGTAAATGAAACCCAAGAAATCATGAAGCCTGTCCAATTGAAGAACACTAAACATATTGGGAAAATTCAGTACCTATCATTTGAACAACAGAAACTGAAAAATCAACTAGTTCATTCCAAAAGTAACTCCTTTTAGATATTAAAAACCAAAAAGGTGCTATTTTTCCAAGATTCACCATTAGAAACCACTCATAAACACAGATCTAAAACTAACAAAAAAAAAACCAAAATCAAAAGATGGAGAAAAAGACAGACCTACATAGTCTCCCATGAAGAGGTAATTGGTATCAGGAGCGTTACCGCCGATTCGAAAGAGCTCGATAAGGTCATAAAACTGACCGTGAATATCTCCGCAAACGGTAACAGGACATTTCACGGGCTGAACATTCCATTCCTCGACAAGAATCGCCCTCGCTTGATCGCAGAGTGTCTTCACATCAGCCTCCGATAAAGGTTTACACTCCATCAGCTGCTCGATCTGACGGTCCAGATCTCCGTTCGACGGCATCTCGTCCGCAGAATCGAAAAACACCACCGATCCTATACGACGGACGGCGGAGGAAGAAGATGAAATCGCCGGCGAGGCTAAGATAATTGAATCGGAGATCAAATCCTGCCTCTTCTCTGGTCTTCCGTGTG